AACAATGTTTGCAACTGGTAGTCGACCGAGTTGTATAGCTGTAGATGATTTTAACAACGATAGCAGAGCAGATCTAGTAGTGACCAACCTTGGTGCTCAAAATATCAGCATTCTAGTCGGATATGGAAACGGTACTTTTCAGTCTCATAGAACATTTAAATGTGGTACTAGTCCCAGTTCTGTAATTGCAGTTGATTTAAATCGTGATCAGATCATGGATCTTGTAGTAGCCAATCTAGGTGAAAATACTATTAGTATTTTATTTGGTTTGGGAGATGGAAGTTTTCAGCCTCAAATAAAGTATGCCGTTGATAGAGAACCAAGTTTTGTAATGTCAGGCGATTTTAATAGTGACAATAAAATGGATATAGCAGTGATCGATCGGCTTTCGAACAATATGCAACTGATGTTTGGTGATGGAAATATGACACTCTTGACCCGAAAACGGTATGGAACAAGTAGTAGTCCAGGTCCTGCAGTAGCCTATGATTTCAACCAAGATGGAAAAATTGATGTTGCTGTGCTGAACAGACTTTCTCATGTACTATATGTTTTCCTAAACGAGTGTCGCTGATAAATATTCGACGAACGTTTTATTGACAGTTGTATCGATGGACTATCCCTTCACTCAATATATGAAGCAATTATGAACTATGTCATCTTAAATGATCTATTTTTCGTCTTTGATGCATTCAGCTATCATTTACTATTATAGTTTCATTGTTGTTCTTATTACCTGTAAATGTTAAAAGCCAATGAGACTAGGCAGTATATTGCAATGACTACTGAACTGTGAAACAGATGCACCCGTTGCAAAACTTGAACCATGCGCCTTCTGCTTTATGGGCAGTTGCTCTGAGCCAGTTATAATCGCAAAGGTTTTTAAGACTTTTTTAGCGATGACGATAATGCATTCTAATATACTATTAATAGTATGCTTTTTTCCCATGATAGAATTGAATGTAAGCAGATAGGAGTCAGCATGACTGTGGCTATGGCTGAGATTGAAGAAAAGACCATAACCCACACTCATGTCTCTTTCTTAGTTTTCGATTTTTTTCGATTTTTCCAATATTATGTTATCTATGAGCGAAAGAAGCTGATTTGGAATCGCGTAAAATGAACGAAAGAAGAAGAGAAAGGATACTCGTTTCGAAGTTTGAGCAATGAGAGAAAAATTATGAAAGTTTTATAAAGAAAAATAATCAGGAGAGAAAAATTTGAACAAGTGTAATTTTTTCGAAAAGAATAAATTTAGTTTTTTAGTTTTAGTTTTATTTTTATTTAGTTCTAAAGAAGAAAAACAATAATGGAATACTTGAGAATTTTCGTAACGAACAAGCTTCAAACATTCCTCAGACTGTATGGCTATATGCTGACTCAGAGTGTGTATCCTTTTATTGGCGTATCTACTCTCGTTCGATTGCTTACTCTCATCCTGTTGAGAATGTGTGTGGGGTGGGTGTGTGGGTGTGAGTGTGGGTGTGGGTGTGGGTGTGGGTGTGGGTGTGGGTGTGGATGGGTGTGGGGTGTGGGTGTGGA